ATCCTTTAAGCTGACAACATCAAGCACACTGAAGTCATGAAAAAGGTTAGAAGTGAATACATTCAGAGAGTGAAGATCTTAAAGTCCCAACTATGTAGAAGAAATACTATTAAGGCAATTAACATCTGGGCAATTCCATTTATCTGATACACAGCTGGAATAGTGGGCTGGACTTAAGTGATAATAAAAGCTGTGGATAGACTGGAAAAATGATGACAGTGAATCATGCCCTTCATCCTTGAAACAATACTGACTGATCCTACTTACCAAGGATAACAGGTAAGCATGGAATATTGCAAGTACATCAGACAGTTGAAGAAGAAGAAAAGGGTATTGGAAGATGATAGTGAAGAAGATGCACTGAAGTTAATGTACCAGGCCTACAGAGTACTGGAGAGGACAAACTGGTCTACAAGAAAGGCCAAATGAAGAACAGGAAAGAGTCATGGGCAAGACAAAGCATTACATGGCCAATACATTGAAGAAAATAGCAGGCAAGATAGTAATAAGACCTAGAAATAACTAAGAGCAGGAAAGATGAGGAAAGAGATTGAGAAGCTTTATTATGACTTCACAAGACAAAGCCGTAAGAATAAATGCATCCAAAGCCAGAATTGAGAAGACAACAGACAGCAAGTGCCATCTCTTCAAAGAAGCTGAGGAAACAGTGAATTAGCTAGTTAACTGTTGCAAGAAGACCACACAGACTGACTATTAATAATGGCGTGACAAAGTAGCAACATCTGTGCATTGGAAGATCTTCAAGAAATTTCATTTGCCTGCAAGAAAGAACTAGTGGTACCATAAAATAGAACTAGTAATAGAACATGAAGCAGCTGAAATACTCTGGGACTTCAGACACCCCAGACTTAACAATTGCTGGTAACAAAAACAAAACTCTGGGTAATGGACTTGGCAGGACTTGGAGATAGCAGAATAGAAGAGAAAGAAAGGGAGAAAACAACATTATACAAAGACCTGCAAATAGAAATAGAATGACCGTGGCAAAAGAAAGAAAAATTACTACCAATATTCATAGGCATTTTGGGTGCAGTCTCAAAACAATGGGAGCACCACTTGGTCATCAGTGATCAGAGTGATCAGAGAGCCATGTTGGTACAGTGGTTAGAATACAGTATTGCAGGCTAATTCTGCTGACTGCCAATTGCTGGCAGTTCGAATCTCACCGGCTCAGGGTTGACTCAATCTTCCATCATTCTGAGGTCAGTAAAATGAGGATCCAGATTGTTGGGGGCAATATGGTGGCTCTGTAAACCACTTAGAAAGGGCTGTAAAGCACTATATACTGTAAGTCTAAGTGCTATTGCTATTTTTATTAATTCACCAACATGGACTCATCCACACATCACAACAAATAAGTAAGTGATCATGCCAACCCTGTGAAGACTCTGGGCTCAAATTCTTCCCAGATAATTTTTCTCCTTTTCTCCTCTTAAAACATCAAAATGCACTTCATTTTATAAATAAAGAATGGCACAGTGAAATTCAGAGATGGGGTATTTTAAAATTGTTTTTGCATGAAATAATAAAAAAAAAAAATGCTGCAAGCATAACCAAAAGACATATCTGTATGTCTTTAATCATGTTTTAAGAAAATTAATCTAATATACAATTGTGTTCTAGTTTTTCAATTTTCTATATCAGAATAATAAGATTGCAGAATCCAGGCCTAGAAGGGACCTTGGAGGTCTTCTAGCCCATTCCCTGCCCAAGGCAGCATACCTTATACCATCCTGGACAAATGCTATCCAATCTTTTCATGAAAACTTCCAGTGATGGAGCAGCCATAACTCTGGGAGGTAAGCTGTTCCACTGATTAATTGTTCTCACTGTAGGGAAATTTGTTCTTAGTTCCAGATTGGATTTCTCTGAGTTTCCACCTGTTGTCTATTGTCTAGCCCTCAGATACTTTGAAGAATGTCAATCTCCTCTTCTCTGTGACAGCTCCTGAGGAGCTGGAAGACAGCTGTCATGTCATCCCTAATCTTTCTCTTTGTTTGGCTAGACATACCTAGTTCCCTTAGCTATTCATCATACAAGGCCGCATTTGGAATGCTGCATCAGTTCTGTTCAACACAATTCAAAAAAAAAAACTGAGACCCTTGAAAGAGTTCAGAGAAGAGCAACAGCTTTGATAAGGTTCTGGAGGCTAAACTGTATGACGAACGGCTAAGAGGTATGTTTAACCTAGTAAAAGTAAGTATTATGGGGTGACATGATAGCTGGAATTTGAGGGGCTATCACAGAAAAGATGGGATAGACTTATTTTTCAAAGTACCTGAGTGTAGGTTAAAAAGCAATGGGTGGAAGTTCGTTAAAATATAAAGCGGTACTATCATTTCTCATGATTTTGATACTATCCCTCTGTTGATGCATCCAGAACAGTATTGGCTTTTTTGGCAGTTGCAGCATACTACTGGTTCCTATTTAAGTGAAATAGTGGTGCAGCATACTACTGGTTCCTATTTAAGTGGTGATCTACTAGGATACCTAGATGCCTCTTGCAGTTACTACTTACACCATCAGGTACCAAACAAATTCCTTGGCCTGGCCCTACAAAAGATTGTCCAAACCCTTCTGACCTAGAAGAGAATGGGTGACCAAAACAGGCAGCGCTCTAAGGATGCAATAAGAGTAGAGAAATACTGCTGTTTTCCCACTCTTACTGCCATGGTAAAGGTAAAGGTTCCCCTCGCATATACGTTTCTGGCTCTAGGGGGCAGTGCTAATCTCCGTTACAAAGCCAAAGAGCCAGCGCTGGTCATGTGGCTGGCATGACTGAACACCAAAGGTTACCTTCCCACCAAAGTGGTCCCTATTTTTCTACTTGCATTTTTACATGTTTTTGATCTGCTAGGTTGGCAGAAACTGGGACAAGTAACGGGAGTTCATTCCGTTACGCGGTGCTAGGAATTTGAACCGCCAAACTGCCGACTTTTCTGGTCGACAAGCTCAGCATCTTAGCGACTGAGCCACTGTGTCCCTTGCCATGAGGTAGCCCTTAATAGTGGCTCTAAGTTTTGTCCGGTCGGAATCATTCCTTGTCTTCCTCCAGTGGCGCTCTAGGTATCTCTTTTCCCTTTTCAGAATCTGTAAATCATGGGGAGGGCCAGAAGCAATGAGTCAAGAGAGGCTGCATGGGCACAATCCTATCCAAAGCTGTGTCCACCCTTAAATTCCAGGGTCCTACCATAGCTTTAACAGGAACATGCAGCAACACCTCCAGGATATCCCCTAGTTCTTTCTGGAACCCATCAAGGTCCATCAGTCACCAGAGATGGACCATCTGAATGGGTACAGACTTCCTGCAGGGCGGGGGGCAAGCATACTAGAACCTCAAGGACACCAGAGCATGATCTGTCCATCACCAGGATGATAATATTACCAGATCATATTTGCATTGTTCCAACAAAAAGATAAAGTCTGGCGTAAATTGGGCCAGTTATAATCTGAGATAGGCCCATGGCCACCATGAACTCCTGGGCTGTTTCTATGCAGATTGAAGTCCCCCAGAGCCATAAGTCAGGGGAACTCCACCAACAATCCTGAGACAGCCTCCAGCATCTCAGGCAAGGAGTTTGCTGCACAACAGGGAGATATACTAGCAACAATCCCATCTGATCCCCTGAACCCATTTTCAGGAACAGGGTCTCACAACCAGAGATTTGTGGAGCAAGACTCCTGAAAGCTGAAAAAGACTCTCTGATAACTATTGCCACCCCACCTCCCCTGTCTTGGAATATTACCTGTTGCCAAACCTGAAACAACCCCCTTCCAGGATCAACCAGGTCTCAGTAATGCATACTAGGTTGGCTTACTTCTCTTCAAAAAAATCTTGAACAAGAGGAGCTTTATTATTGACCAACCTGGCATTCAGAGCAGCAACTGGACCCCATGATATGCTGTCTAGGGACTGGATATGAGCTCAAGGTGCCGGAAAACATCACCAATATTAAACATCTTCTCCCTTACTCTTCATCAGTATGATACCTGATCTTGCTCTAGGTCCCGCCGAGATAAACATTCCCTCTATTATAGCAATCTTACCCATTTATTGCAATTTTTGGAGGCTATGTTTCCCAACAAAAATGAACTTCTTGTGAAATATTAACACACATTACTAAAATTGTTTTGGCATGACTTAAAAATACTATTCTAAGAATCTTGTCTATAATATCAATAAACATTTACTTATTTAGTTTACTTACTTACTTTACTTACTTACTTATGAGATTTAGAGGCCCAACTCTGAAATGACTCTAAAGCAATATTTTGTTGTCATTTGGATATTTATGTAGCATTTATATAGTCTCCCAAACATCTTTCAGATGAATGCTCACAGAATGAATTCCTTCTCATAAAAAAAAAAAATTAAAATAGAGAATACCTCAAAAATAAGATTTGAAGACAGTTCTGTTGCTGGCATGTCATACAATACAAATAATTCACTTCAATTATGTGGACGTGCTGCAAAACTTAGAGAAATATAAGCAATATAATGGTGGAGTGCTCCTTCACCAGTCAGGAAAATATTCAGTCCTGATAAAAAGCATGTTCAACATAGATTGACTAAGAAACTGTATCAGTATTGCCTGTGGATCGAGAAATATGTAGAATTCTTTGAGATACGAAGATACTTTTTTATGGAAACTGCTCTGATGTATTCCTTGGCATTCCTTTAGATACTTCAGCTAAGAAGGCACCTTCAAAATTTCCCTTTAAGAGGATGGCAGTGACAACTTTACTGCCAATATGTCCACATGGAGGTGGTAATTCCTGAAGAAGATATGAGACCTATTGCCTCTTTCAAGAAAATGCAATTTATTAATCTACAGCTTCTGTGATTTTTATCCCAAAGACATGGAAAGGCATTAATTAGTCAAAGACTGATGGGTTTTGGTATCGTTATTAATTAAAGAGAATAAAGCAAGTGGACAGTCCTTTAAAAGGAAATACTCTATATCTTGTCATAGACTTACACTTATCTTTGTTCCATCATTGTCTAAGTCTCTCTCTGGTAATAGCTCCACCTGTTGGGGAATGAATAACTGTTTTTACATATTGAAGGTATAAAGTTTCTTATGTAAAAAATAAATTCCATCACTTATCATTTCAAATAACTCCAAATCCAATCTATAAGATTGTATAGCAAGAACATCTAACAATTTAAAGGCTTTTGAGTGTGCTAGAATGCTTGTGAGATTGAGTCTTTGCTTATATATCTAGATATATGGGACACTAAGTGACTGCATAGTATCTATATGAAATCATTATGAGAATCTGCTGTGGTTCAGTATAACATATATGTGTCTCACCTATTTCCTACACCTGCTTTGCCTATTTGTTGCACAGTGTGATAATGGCTCTTATTCTAAGCATTGTTAAGAATGTGTTTGCCAAATTCATAGTTAGGGATCTCATAGTTAGTTGTTACAGCAAAGTAGAGGTAGCCTATTATTAAAAGTCTGATGGCAATTGGCAAATAAAAAGTGTCTTTCACACCACACTTGTTGCTCTGAGAGCCATCTGATTGACTACTATGGGCATTAGAGTATCTACTCACTTAAATAAAAGAATGTTGCTTCAAAGAATGTCCTTACCTCATCCCAGGAACTAGCAGAACTCATTCAAATCCATATTCTCTTAAATAACTACACTGGTTAATTAAGCTACACTGGTCCACCACAAGAGTTCATGGTCGATAAACTTCAGTGAAGAGGCCTTCATCATACAGTAGCTTAATTTATATCCTCATGAAGATTCTTCCATTTTTTATTTTCAATGCTATTATTATGACCAGTCTAGTTTACCAATATTTTTAAACTAGACCTGCAGATTAGGTAATAAACAAGACAAAGCAAAACAAAAACTCTGAAATATATGGCAAAGATTTGTCCATGGGGAGATAGAGCCAAAGAATAATCTGACTGGAGCCAAGCGCTGCCTATAATAATCAGGCACATGCTATGACCTGACATGTTTACCTCCACTGGAATTACTCTTTTGAACATTTCAGAGAGAAGCAGAAAATGAGTTTATTGTATTGTTGTGAATTTATCAGTGAGCATTTGAGATACAGAATTGATTCTGCACTTTGCTGATTGATGAATAAGTAATAATAAATATTCAGTGTAGAGTTTATTTCAGTTTATCATAATATGAAACAAATCTACAATCTCAATCCATTCTCCACCATTACCACTTAAAATAAAAAAAATCTTGAATCTTGCGGCTGAACAGATTGATCTGGGAATAGCTTGAAAGGTTCTAATATATTCTGGATCTAATCTGGAATCCATAGGAATATTTTAAAAGTCCTGTATATAAAATGAATTTTATGCAATAATTTATAACATGTTTGAATGGCACTGGCCGTCATTAATTCTAAATTAAAATTTTAATTTAAGAGGATTGTATTGAATAATCAAATGTTTATGGAGATTCTCAGTCATCCAGATCACGATTGTCTCAAAGGTGCTTTTTCAAAAGGCAACTGGACTTTCTTTGTTTTTTCTTTAAGACGTTTTAATTCTCATCCAAGAAGCTTCTGTTCCATGTCCTCCTTTGAAGTATTAATATAATTTATCTAAAAATCAAGGTTTTGTTTTGAGGAAGACAAATCCATGTTCAACTCACTACTGATAGCAAAAGCCATTCCTCATTGCTATATAACAATCTACAATACTTACAACAGTCCATTTAGTGACCATTCAAAGTTACGACACTGTAAGAAGTGACTTAAAGCCATTTTTTTTACAGTTTCAATCTTTATAGCATCCCCATGATCATATGATGAAAATTCAGATGCTTGGCAATTGGTTCATATTTATGACCATTGTTATGTCCCAAGGTCATGTGATCTCCTTTTGCAACCTTTTGACAAGCAAAGTCAATGGCAAGCCAGATTCACTTAACAACCAAGTTACTAGCTTATCAACTGCAGTGATTCACATAACAACTATGGCAAGAAAGATTGTAAAATGGGGCAAAATTCACTTAACAAATGTCTCACTTAACAACAGAAATTTTAGGCTCAGTTGTGGTCATAAGTTGAAAACTACCTGTAGCTATCTAGCTAATTTGATTAGATACCTCTTACTTTGATGATATTAATGAATTCTGCAACTGTCTGGACATAACAAAAACATTGCAAAGAAAAGTATATAAAGTGAAAAATGCAAATATGTATTTTCCACTCTGTCTTAACATAAGGAATAAAACTGACATTGAATCTATTAAGTTCTTTCTAAAAATATATGCTTTGCATTGATCAAAATTAACTCCTTTAAGAGTCTATATTTTTTACTCATGCTTAGAAATAACAGGTCTTTGTTCCTTGGGGTTAGCTCAGTGATTTCTTTTTACTTCTCCTAGTAAGTGAGTATATTACATTTCTGGGGAAAACCAGTTCTGTTTCCTGAATCTCTACTTTCCAGCTACTTAGGGAATGCTTTGGTTGTGAGCTGATACCTGAGTATCCGTCACTTCAGCTCCAGCTTCTTGGTCTTCAGTTGCCCTCAGAAACCACCACTGGATTTCCATGTACATTGAAGCAGAGCCACTCTGGAATGCACAAGACATCTCCACATTCTGCCCCTCAGGAGCTGTGATATTTTGAGGGAATTCAGTAAATTTGGCTGGAAAAGAAAAGCAGGTCTCATTAGGAGTCTTTCTCTTTTTCTTTCTTTACTTCCCCTTTCTATTCATTTCCTTTATTTCCCTTCTCTGGAATATGGTCTTATACAGATGTACATGGGAATAAATTGCACTGCATTTGCCAGATCATATTTATAAGTGATCATGCAGAAGATTGTGCAGGTACCCAATTAGTTGATTAAGTAAGACTTAAACCCAGCTACACACACTCAGGACTGCAGTATTCTCTTTCCCAATTTTCTTTCTTTTTCTTCTTGTACTAATGTTCATGTCTTTTCTGTTCTTTGTTCTCCTTTGAAGTATTAATGATCACTTTTATTTTTCTTCTATATTTGTCTACGAATCACTGCCATCGGCAAATGGAAAAACTAACTATTTGCACAATCACATATAATGAAGTGTAAGCATTGTATGGAAGGCAGTATTTAAATATTTTTCCTTAGGGATTAGTGAAAAATATCAAGCAATCCAAATGTTTCTTTTTCATATATTTGCCTATTGAGTAATTATCATAATAGCATGTTTCTTTTTTTCCTATTTTTAAAAACAGGATTTGAAAAGTGTGTTAAGGCATTTATTTGTTATAAAAATCCCTGTGGTTAGATTCTATTTAATGTCATTCTCAATTTTGTTTGAAATACCACACTAAATAAAAAATAGATATTTGAGTTCAGAAGATTCAAACACTCGAAATACTTCACTTCATTAGTTCAGTTCCAGCACTTCAGTATGGCTATTTCTTTGAAAAACCACAAAATCAAGAACATATTTCTTTAATACATATTTGAGAAAAAAAATTGGCATAGGTCCTTTATATTCCCATAGGAACATTGGGAAAATAATCTGTTCAATTAAGCCCCACACATCTTGCTTTCAGTTTTCAGACAGTAAGCACCAATGACCACTTCAGTTCTGCAGTATTACAGATTCATAGTGGGCATGTTGAAAAGACTTCCATAATATCTCACACATATGTGCTAGATTATATCCTGTGACTCATTGTTGTGTTATTGGAGAAAATTCTTGATTGCTTTTCACTTTCTAAAATAGTTAAATTGCAAAAAGCCACAGGTATCATTCTCAGGGATCTGTCTCCCCCCTTTTTTCTTTGAAAAGAAATGATCCCCCTCTCAATCACTTGCTAATATAGAAAATCATTGCTTGTAAAAAAAGAAAAATTAATCATATTCTTGCTGGCTATTATTCCATCACTCCTGCTCCATCTCTGTCTAAAGCGAAACAAATAAACAAGCCAAAAATTGCTAATGGTATTTCTGGTTGTCTGTACAATATTTGGAGGAGTATCCTGAAATGATTTTTCTCCATGGTGCTGGAATTTACACTGCAGCTTTTGAAGTCTCAAACAACTGAATGGATTCTGCAGAGCAGGGGCTACTTGGAATGCAGATGGTGCTTTTGTCAGAGCAGTCAGGGCTAGAAAATGGAGTGGTCTTTGTAGAAATAAAGGGAGAAACCAAGGTTTGAGAACATGAACATAGGATTATGGGGAAAACAGAAGAGAGGGATGGGATAGAGGAGGGAGTGATGTTCTAAAAAGATTGTACTATTTAAAGCAGAAAAACAAATTCACTTTACCACGTGCTCCAGGATCCTGAATTCTGAACAGAAGGTTTGGAAAATTACATATATAACTTCTATGTTTAGAAAACAAACTAACAATTTTTAAATGAAAGCACTGCTCAGATATAAACAGCAATACATCTATAAGATTTTTGTACTTCATATATGTCTGGAAACTAAAGGCACATATTTATATTATATTCACTTCTGGTGAACATATTTCCCCCCTTTTAATTGGTAGGTGGTGTTAATAAGATTTAAACAAGGAAATACAAGCACTTACTTCAATACCCCCCCTCCACTGCCCCAATGTTCTTTTTCTGTCCACCAGATTCCTTCTATCCAGTCTTGACAAATGGTGGCTCTTACCTTGAGAAGAAAGTCCTTGCTGGATATACAATACTGTGAAGACATGAAATCCAACAGAAGGCCAAAAGATGCCCATGGTTCCAAAGCAAGAGGGGGGGTCAGAAAGTCACATCAGGGTAGTGCCAGAGAGCCACACAATCCCACAAGAAAAGGAAGGGCAAAGAAATTTTTACAGTGGGATTGAACCCCAATTGTAACACTGCCAATGTTCTCCTGGAAAAACTGGAAAGGGAAAGACCAGCTTCAGAGGGAGTTGGTAAAAAGAGGGCGAGGAAAAGAGAGACAGACAGATAAACAGAGAGAGACTAATTGCTCAGATGCCAGATGCCCAGATGCAATCTTCCTTGGATTTGGAAACAGACTCTTCAGAGCACCTTTCGTTGCTGTGACTTGACAGTTCAATCAGCCCCTGCTGCTTAACACTGCATGATGAGCGCCCTCTCTAAACACTGTGCCAGCTTGGAAAAATAGGGGGGGGGGATGAGAGCCTGGTTCTGCTCGTCGCACTTCAACTTTTCCCCTTCTTTGCCTCTCTGTCGGAACACTGTGCTGACTCCTTTAACGCTGGCTTCTTCTAGCGTTCTCTGTCTGTCTGTCTCCCCTCTCCTTGCTGTCTATGGTGCTGAAACAAACACGAGGACGAAGCACATAATGGGAGATCATTGCAGGGGGCAAAAGCGTTGCTTGCATTGATGGAATTTTCTGCATCCCTCCCATCCTAGACTGAGGGTTCGATGCGGCAGTTTCATTGATGAATCTGTTTCCATTCTTTTCCTCCCTCCCTCCCTCTCCCTCTGTTCTGCACACACTCCAGAGAGGATATAATTAAAAAGCCAACTGTATTTTCTTCTGTTACTTTTGTGTTATATGTTTCATGCTGTAAGCTTTTCTTCACATGTTGTTCACGTTGCAAGCTTTTCTGTCACAATAGTGACAGAAAATAATTTTATTACCTTGTTTATGGACTCAGAATCCTGATCTAAAACAGATTCCCTCCTAGGAATTATTTTCAGTACCCCTTTTTGAAGATTCCTAGGTTATAAAAAGTTGGTTAAAATTATAGAAGGATGATTGACTTCCTTCATGATATTTTACATTTTTATATTTTCAGTCATATTTTCTGAGTGAAAAATGATTTGAATTGTGTCTGTGATTTTCTGAATTGTATTTTCATATGCCAATACTAAGGGGTGGGGGGTGTCTGGTGGTTCAGTGGTAAAGATGCTGAGCTTGTCACCTGGAAAACTGACAGCCTGGGTTCAAGACCTGGGTGTTGCACAATGGGGTGAACTCTGCTTATTCAGCCCAATTCCTGCCAACCTAGCAATTTTGCTACTCACATTTGCTGAGCATGCAAATGTGAGTAGAAAAATAGATACAATTTTGGTGGGAAAGTTACAGCATTCCATGTGCCTCAGCCTATAGTTATGCCCACAGAAATATCTTCAGACAACACTAGGTTGCTTGGCCAAGAAAGAGAGATGAGTACTGCCCCCTAGAGTCAGAAATGACTTGAAGGGGAAAGCTTTACTTTACCTTTATATCAATATTAGAAAAGGAGAATATTTTGGGAACAAAATCCCAGGTGACATTCATTAAACATGAATTGATAAATACCATTACAGCATCCACTAATGAAAACAGCTGTACAACACACATATTTAAAGCTAGCAGAAAATATCCCTATAATTTAACCTTAATTATAATTTAAACTAAATCAACTGGCTGTACCTGACCACACTTGTAAATAGATTATAAGCTTCCTAACAGACAGGAAGCAGCAGGCAAAATCACATCAGATAACTGTCCAATTAGCACAGGAGCCCACCAAGGCTATGTGCACTCTCTACTTCTCTTCTCCCTATATACCAATGACTGCATCTGAAACGATCCATTTGTTAAACTACTGAAGTTTGCAGAAGATACAACAGTGATTGGTCTCATTTGAGACAACAATGAATCTGTATACAGACAGGAGGTTGAACAACTAGCCTTGTGGTGCAACCAGAACAATCTTGAACTGAACACACTCAAAACCATGGAAATGATGGTAAATTTCAGGGAAAAAAACCCTCCTATACTACCAGCTCTTACAATACTAGACAACACAGTATCAACAGTTGAGACTTTCAATTTTCTAGGTTCTATCATATCTCAAGACTTAAAATGGACATCTAACATAAAAAGTCATCAAAAAAGCACAACAAAGAATGTTATTTCTGTGCCAACTCAGGAAGCTCAAACTGCCCAAAGAACTGCTGATTCAGTTCTACAGAGGAATTATTGAATCTGTCATCTGCACCTCTTTAACTGTCCGGTTTGGTTCTGCAACCAAACAAGACAGACACAGATTTCAATGGATAATTAGAACTTGCAGAAAAAACAATTGCCACAAACCTGCCTTCCATTGAGGACGTGTATACTGCACGAGCTATAGGGCACTGCACACAAAAACAACTAGACACAAGGAATTTCCCCCAAATGCGATCACTCAGCTAAACAACTAATTCCCATAACACTGTCAAACTATTCAGTAAGACTGTATTACTATTATTCTTCTCATCCTTCCTATTACCTATCTCTTCAAATTTATAACTGTAACCGTGTTACTTGTATCTTTACAATTTATATTGTTTATATTGTTTTATTTGTTCCCTAGTATGATTTGCTTATTAGTAACCTATGACTATCACTAAGTGTTTATCTTATGATTCCTAATGAATGTATTTTATTTTTTCTTTATGTACACTGGGAGCTTATGTACCAAAGACAAATTCCTTGTGTGTCCAATCACACTTGACCAATAAAGAATTCTATTCTATTCTATTCTATTCTATTCTATTCTATTCTATTCTATTCTATTCTATTCTATTCTATTCTATTCTATTCTATTCTAATTTGTATTGAAAAGGGAATGGTCAAGATGAATGTGCTTTGGTCTTTTCTCCAAATATTAAACTTAACATTGGCTTATATAAAGGGCTGAAAAAATAAACTAATTTGATTCCTTCTGCAATAGCCAGATTTTTTTAAAATTACAAATTGCTGGGTGATTGTTGCTTATATTTAATAAACTACATATTTCTAATCCAGAATAAAACTAAAATGTTTTCATATAACATTAATCAAACAATATAGACATATAGTAAGAAAAGTGGGTGAGCACATATTTACTGTTAGCTGAAATTTAGAAGCATATAACTGATTATTATAAATTATCTGACAGAAAATTCAATTTAAATTTAGTCTTTTATGGATAATAATACCCACTAGCTTTATATATTTTGTAATAATCATTTCAAAGCCTGTTTAAAAAAGAATGTTTCCAATATGTTGCTTCATTTGGTTGAAATGTACTACATACTATTTGCCTATTAAACTGTTCACTCAATCATGTCTCTTCTGAAGGCATCTTTGATGGATGTTAATTTCTTTCTTGTTCTTTTATTGTAGTTCAGAGCCAACAGAAATTCAGTAATTGGATTAATTCTGAAACCTACAAATATTCAATTGAAAGTTTGGCTATTTTGCAGTTTTTAAAAATGTCAATTCCTTTTGCAGTAATTTAGTGGTTAAAATTAGCCGAACTAAATTACTAATATCCATTAGCCCATAAACTTAAATAGATTTTTTAAAAAGAATTATAAAAGATTTTTATACAGTTTTCTGAATGGGATTATCCCAACATTTATCATAGGAATAAAAGTCAAAAATTATACTTCCATCCCAAGATTTTCCAAATAGGTCTTGCAACCATTTATGCTGGAAGTATAGTAGAACCTTGAGTGAATCCTCTACCGTGACCTCAGAGGTTTCACATAATAACATTCTTACTATGCCCATAATGTATTTTGGAATATATCACTTGAATTCCATGGAGAAACAAAAGTAAAGACATATGGCCAATGATTAAAAAGAAAGTAAGAAAACTTGAAATCTCTATCATCATATGACCATTTTAATTTAAATAAAGGAAATTAGGAAATCAGTCTCTCCCATGGAACATTCTTAGCCCACTTATTAATCCATTTGAAAAACCATTACAGCATTATCAAGTATATTCCTATAAGTAAATACACCAGTCTTGAAGTAATATTCATTTGCACAAATAATCTTTTCCTAAAAAAACCTATTAGGATTTTTATCCATTTGTTTATAACAATATTATCAATTTATTATATTGTTTTATAATTTATTTGTATGCCACTTCAACCTTAACTTAGGATTGTGTTTGAAATATTTACATTTATCATGAACACAGGAGATAATTATTCAAAATTATCTAGAAAAAATCCAGATATCAAATGATGTATCAATACTTGCAGATTTCTATAGATACATTAAAATGTCTAGGAAACATATGACAATTACTCCAATTACCTGAGCAAGCTGATTGTTGTACAATAGCCATAAAATTTGGAATAGAATATTGATAATTATTAATAAAATATATCATCAGCATATTTCAATTCTAGCCACTATTATCATTGGAATGTCTTAGGTTATAAATGTTAATGGTTTCAATATAAGATTAAATATAATATTTTCTGAGGCATCTTGATGCTTCATGAAATGAAAGGGCTGGTAAACATTTAATTCAAACACACACACACAGCTTTTGCCATTAGAAAATTTCTTCTGATGTTCAGTTGAAATGTACTTGCAATTTAAACCCATTTCTTGCCTTGACTTCTAGAATAGCTTTCAACAATTCTGCTTTGCCTTCTATATGACAATTATTCATATACTTGAAGACAGCTATCATGTCTCCCAACAGTATTTCTTCTCTAGACTAAACATAGGGCTTCCAGCTGCTTGTAATAGATGTTTACTAGGCCACTCATTTTAGCTGTTCCCTACTACGCACATTCTAATTTTTCAAAGTCCTTCTTAAAATGTAATATTCCAAATTGGACAAATTGTTCTAAATGAAGTCTGACAAAAGTAGAATAGAGAGGAATGATAACTGCTTGATATTATACTTCCCGATGCAACTAGCTTTTTTAAAGCAGTTTGTCTGAGATGAGCAGTTATAGAAATTGAATGAATAAATCTATACATTTACCTGATGACCTA